ATATTTGAAGGATTGATTCGACTTGTTTCTAACTAATTTACGTTCGAAGACTTACTCATCTGGATTCAGCGTTCAACAATCGACAATCAGCATCCAGGCCTGACTATAGGGACACCTACACACTTATCTAGCTAGGGTCTCTAAATTTTAGGAATCTTCAAATTTTAAATTAAGCTCATTAATTTAGCAGCAATATACATGTGTAGGTTTTTTTGGATAATGGCCGATCAGACTTTTTTAGCTTCTTTGATCACCATTAATGAGTTTGACTATGTAAATAGCTGAAATTATCGTTTGATTAATAGCTGATTGATTTAGCTTATTGGACTCAATCGGTCAAAAAATAAAATGCTACAGGGACTAGCGTTTAGTTTCGACGGTTTCTATTTCTTGTAGCGTTTACTTTCGGCGGTTTGTATTTCTTCTAGCGTTTAGTTTCAATGGTTTCTATTTCTTCTTTTCATGCCCTTATGACATGCTCATATTTTCAATCTTATGTGATGCATTAATGTTACGTTGTTAATTACGTTGCTCTCAATTGGCTAATTAACTATTCATGCATAATTGCATATTCATTTTTACATGAGTTGAACTCCTTTTGCTACACCTACAGATTCATCAATTGTGCATATTTATAAATTTTATTCGTTTATCTTTTGATTGAAATTTAATTCTTAAATTTTCTTCAATTGTGATTTGCGTATATTCTAGTGAAAAAAATTTATTGTCAAGATTTTGGGTGAAGACTTTATATAACAGTTTTTTGTGCATATGATTTGTGATGTAAATCCATGGTGTAATTTTATTAATCAATTTTAACTTTCAAACGGATCGGATGATCGTAGGGGCTAGGGTGAGCTCCAACCTTGCCCAAAATTAGGCTGCCCAAAATTTTATTTATTTCTCCGGTACTACGTACTACATATTTATTACTCCTTTCCTTTCGCAAACAAGTTCCAGGTTTGACTTCACACATATATATTTAGAAAATAAATTTATTGAGTTGTAAATTTTAAGAGTATACTGTACATTATAACTTCACTCGTAATTGTAGTTCTTTCAATTTTAGTATATTATAATTTCATATAGAATTGAAAACTAGAGAATAATTTCATATACAATGAAATGAATATTTACCTAGCACAAAATGGAGCTCGATAAACATGTTTGAATGCAAAATTTTAGACTATGCTCGTTAATGGATTCGTCTTGAATTATTCAATAAATACTCGAATCTTTAATAATCATCAATAAATTTATAAAATTGCATTAAAACATTTAAATTTTCAGATATATATGTAAACTATTCCTGTAACTCATATGTCATCAATAGGATGGAGTCCGGATCGAAAGGAACATTAGTATGCAGTATGCTCGAAGTCTCGAACTCAACTTGAATAACTATTTGAACTCAAAATTTAGCCCGCCTTTGAGTTCGAAGTTCGTTAAGCTCGAGTCGCTAAATTAGATTCGAAATCAAGATCGAAATCGAGTAGTTTAAAAGAACCTCGGTTCAATAAGAATTAACAATCTTTTTGCTAAATCCGCCCACCTCACCTCCCATTTCTAGATCCACCCTTGCTTTCAAAGTATGAGTAATTTGTATCATGTAAGTAACGTCTTTACATGTCTTCATCAGGCATTCAGGTCTGGCCCGACCCAAGTGCAATTGATGCACCTGCACAAGGCCCCCAATTCTAAGAGGGCCTCCATTTTTTAATAACATAGAAGTTGTTTGGCAATACTGTTTTTCGGCTTATCAAGCTTATCAGCCATTTTTTTCACCAAACATGTAACTTTTGTTTTTGCGCGTTGAATTGTGTAATAAACAGAAAAAGTAAGGTTAAAGTTACTTTTCTATTTGTATTGGCTGAAGCTACTCTAGATGATCATTTTAATTATTTTTACATATTTGTTTTCTTTATTTTATTAATAAAATATATTTTATTTTTTTCTTAAATCAGTAGAATCAACCAATGCAGTCACTTCAGCCAAAACTTCATAAATTTCAGCAGAGGTAACCGATTTTCGTGCTACCAAACGGGCTCATAGTATTACTGTAACACCCCCAAATTTATACCCAAAATAGATGCTAATTATAGCAAGAATGGAATGAATTTCCCAAAACATTTAGGTTCAAAACGGTTTCAATTGCAGCGGAAGCAAAATATTCAATGGGTGTTTTCGCCACATTCGGCTATCTCTTAACCGAATGCACAGGCTAAACCACAATCCAAAACAATATTTCAAGCTAAGTATTTAAGTGCTGAAATGTCAAAAACAATTTAATTGTCTACATGTTCACAAAACTGTAATAAATATTAACTAGGTGATTGACAACTGATAAACTACGTGGTCTAGCGCAGCTCTCATCATAATGCATAATCCTCATCACCTGCACCAAATAAAGTGCAGAAAACAAAACAAAAACAAAGAAACAAAAATTAGCTTTTTATTTAAGTAAGACATACCCAACCCCGTAAAATAATATAATTTGTCAAAATAGTTTTCATACATAAGTATAATTCAAAAATCAGTATCTTTCCAAATACTTCTTCACTTGTCCCAAAAACATTAGTTACCGTTTAGTAAGATACTAGTAATTTCCAAAGCTATCATATCTTAATCAAAAGCATTCATAATCAATCCATAGTCATAGTTTTAAAATATAATTTATATAGTCATGGGGTAGTAAAATATTTCTTCGAAAACATTCTCATTCTCAAATAAATCTCAAAATCAACTAATTCACTTTTCTAAAAATAACCTCATCGCTCAAATAACTTTTATAAGCTTTTAAACAAAGGTAGTAAAAGTACTTCTCTGAAAAACATTCTATTTTTGAAACTCATCTCCAAAAATCATTTATATTACAAGTCTCAAAATTTATCTCAAGAGGTGGGCAGAGCTCAAGATTCCTCGAGCCTAGTGAGCACGTGGGTCACCGCATCCCGCACGACTCACCCTGCAATTGCAGATCCCACGATTCTCAAAATCAAGTATGTTCACAAGTCTTAAATTAGTTCTCTAAAGATGGACATAACTCAAGATTCCTCGAGCCTAGCGAACACGTGGGTCACCGCAGCCCCCACGTCTCGCCCCGCAATTGCAGATCCCATCGGTCACAAATAAATGGAAGCTAGACCTCTACCTTAAGTGTGCACACCCTCTAAAAGGGATTCCAAGCCCTCCGAGCAGTAAGAAGTCTAAGTAGTTAGGATGTCTACTGACTACTCACAAATAGGATTGAATCCTCACAAAGCAAATTAGGAACTACTAATACCCTCTACCGAATCACTCACAAGTCTCAGACAATTCACACAAAATAGTAGTAGCCCTAACTCACTAGCATCCCGGGTTTCTCTGCGGGACACTCACAATTATGAAATCGTTGTTCATAGTTCTTATCAAAATAATTCGATCTCGTTCTCAAAAACTTTCTCAAAACATCTCAATCATATTCATATCTTAAAATAGTATGCATATCATATCAAGTACAAAGTCATAATTCTCAACTTAGGGGTTCCCCCTAAACTAGTTACAAAATAATATTTGATCTCATGTTCAAAATAATCCAATAAGGATAGTTCTAACTCCATAATATATATGCAAATATTCACATCAAATTATACATTTAGAAATATATAATTTGTCTCAAAACAATCTCCACAGTTTTTCAAGTCAATATGACGATTTCTCATAATTCACAATTTCGGCTAGAGTAATTAAAATAATTAATTACTCAAAAATCATACATTAAAAAATTCTCATAAAATCATATCATTCTCAACTAAGTCTATCATATCCGAATCACACATAAAATTTCATAAAGAATATCAAATCATAGCTCAAACCCTAATTAATACATAGTATAGGGGCAAAATAGTAGTTTTGGTTGCAATAGTCCTTACCTCAAGGCTAGCAACGAATCCTAAACGTCAAACCTAGCTTGAGGAGTCACTCACACGTCCCTAGGAAGTTATAGGGTCGAAGGATCATAATTTAGGAGAAGGAAATCAAGAAAACGGATGAACGATGCGAATTTGCTAGGCAACAAAAACGCTTACCAGAAGATTGGATTGTTTGATCTCGTTCCTGGACTCAAAAAATCAATCATGTTTGATATGTTAATATTAAAGGTATGGGAGAGATAGATCTTGAAGAGGCGGTTCTAGGGGTTTTGGAATGAGGAAAATCGGATTAGGGATATATTTATAATGAATTTTCGAAGTTTGGTCGAACTAGGACAAATCAGGGACGCACGACCGTGCATGCCTCCATGCACGACCGTGCGTGGCTGGCAGTAGCTATTACGCTCAAATGTCATGCCACGCACGCCGTGCGTGACCCCCAGACGTCCGAAACTTTAGTTTTTGCTCCGTTTCTTCCCCGCTTGGACCTCCTCTTGGTCCGAAACACTAAACCAACCATCATAAACTATCTAAAGATCATCTAAACGATACAAAACAAAATTTTAATTACTTCTCAAATTTTCTCAAATTTTGGGGCATTACATTCTCCCCCCTTAAAGGATGCTTCGTCCCCGAAGCTCAAGTCAGAACAAGGTCAAGATGAAACGGTGAAAGAAATATCTTACCAAACAAAGCTCAAGGTTTAGAATACTAGGAGTGTACATACTTCATACTCTCACGTTCCTATGAGTTATCGAAGTTCTTACAAAAGAAAGACGCAACGTTTAGAACACTTTTGAATTCCTAAAACAGTCCACCGAGTTCTATCTGATTACATAAGACGTAGGAAACTAGGAATATTCTCATAAGAGTTCTCAAGTTCAATAACTCACAAGATACTCTAGGATAATGAATACCGAGGAACAACTACTGGAAATCCCATTCTATTCACAAATTTCAAATCCGATTCAAAATCACACAAAATACAATAGACAATATCTCACAAGCTCACACGCGCCAATGGCTTAAATTTTCGGGATATTACAATTACACCTAAACCCATTAGATTTTTATTTTATCAAATAACCTTAGCAGCGGCCCAACCAGGTCCTATTTGTGAAGCGTCTTCTTGCCTCATCGATCAATCCGCGTGACTACGTAAGTCGTAACGTGAGCGGGGAGACGCAGAGCCGGAGAAGGAAGAGCGGAATGATTTGAACAGACTAGGGAGAATGAAGGTATGTCGGTATTAACTATTAAGTTCAAATAATTCGAATATCCGACATTCCAATTCCATCCAAACTCCACTCTTCTGATTTCAATGATTTTGCTTCAATTGATCAATTCTTCTTCTGCTCTACCTAGTTCCGAGTGCCGACCTGCAAGCCTTCAACCATTTTTTATTTTTTTAGAAACGCAATGGCAGTAGCAGCTCAGCAGAACTCTTCTTACACTAACAGTTTTTTAATTTTACCAAACAGTTATTTACAAAAGGTAAACATTACCGGCAGATTACCAAACAAAACATTTTTATTCAATTGTAATTAGAAATTTAGAACGTGATTAATTAAAAAAGAAAAATCCAATTCCTAAATCCTAAATCAACGATAGCTGCAAGTCTGCGTGTCCCTGCTTATCATGCTCTTCTTCCATTGGGATTCAAAATTTCACCCTTTACTGCCATTTAGGGGGTTATTATCATTATTAGGGCTTTAGTCCAGCAATTAGAAACCTGGACAGCAGCAGCAGCAGGCAGCGCAGGGCCCGGACGGGCAAACCGCTAGGCGGATTGACGGAATCGCTGAGGTGCAGAAGACAGCACTCAGTTCACTCAATCACTCAGTTAATAACTTCAGGTCTTGGTAGCAGGCACAGGCGCACAGCGAAATGGTAGAGCAGCTCCAATTTCAGGATTATACTTTCGGCTTTTGTGCATTTGCCACTTTGAGTTTTAGTTACTTCTAATACTCAGTCTCAAGAAATAGTAAGTCGGCAGACCCGATTCAGTATTCCACCTAAGGATTTTGCCGATGCTCGGCATTGGACTATCGTGGCTGATCTCCTTGTCGCCACCCATATGTAATTGCCCAAAGACTGAATCTTTGTTTCTCCTATAAGGTAATACTCTAGTTCTCTTTTCTATTAATCTTCATGCTATTCTCTGGTCTGTAAACTAGAGTCCTTCTGGGTTAAGCATGATGTCCGGATTTGTGGAGGATAGATGTTTTTAAATCTCTTAGCAATTTTAAACGTTGATAATTTTTTACCAAATCAGAAAGTTGGAAAGCGGTTGAGTTTATGAATATCTTTGTTTTACACATGAAGTACTGAGTAACCGATCTACATTGTAAAAGTATAATTCATCAAAGGGAAAGGTACACTGCCAACTGCCCAGTGCTAACTATTCTGGCTATGAAGTAACATGTTTGTGTGTGTAACGTAAGACCTTCCTTAGGAACATTAGAACAAACCCGTAGCAGGGTTCCTTTCTATATCGATATGGCAGCAGTTGTTGGGCAACTGGCATGGGTGATTGTGAAGAAGAATCATGGATTTTAAATAGGCAGGTTTCCTTTTTAAATTGTAATAGGAACCCCAAGAATCCAGAACAATTAAACAGAAAGATTAACAATGAAACAATCTGAAAATCTTTATTGAAGAGGAAGATTGATTACAGGAGAAAAGTAACAAGGCCGAAGCTCCCATATGAGCCGAAGCCCCCAAAGAGAGAGAAATAATTCTCAATCTTCCCAGTCCCAAGACCTAAGTCCAAAAGCCTCCTAATTACTCCCCCTTTACATCTATTTATACTAGAGACCCTTATTACTAATATTATTATTATTATTACTTCTAATATTATTCTAATAGGTAGGTCCCTATCAAATTGGCAGGCCTGAGCACATCAGCATTTCAATGTCTCTGTCTAGATGATATTGGATTTTGTTTGAACTATGACTCTTTGTATTAGTCCAATTAAAAAGTGATCTGATGCCTCCATTCTCTTTATCTCTTTGAGTTGCGTGGTGCCAAATATTTAGTCTTATGAAAATCTTTTTTACATTTATTTCTACTACCAGTCTGCAAACAATATTTATACAGGCGAATGACTATATATTTGATTGGCCTTAAAAATCACTCATGGTTTTGACATTTATTTCTAATTTTTAGTTTTGGACAGTGATTTAGTAATGCTATGATTTCAGTCGCTGGTTTAAATATTTTAGATTTAGTATTTTTTGTAACTTTTGTGTTTTGGATATATTACTTCCGTTGTTTAGTATAAATCTCATCAGTAATTTAGTATAACTACTCCTCAAAACACAAATATAAGTTTTATTTCTATTTTCCAGATTTGCAAAACATTTTTAATTTTTTAGTTGTTTTTATCATCTGCTAAAAATGATAGTTGTGCACCTCTATTTATCCATATGGTGTCTTCTTTTTCCTTTTATCAATATTTGTTGCGCTTTTATCTTCTACACTCCTACCAGATTTTTATCGAATTTACCATGCTTAGTTATTCATTCTGTTTTCTGTTAATTCTATTTGTAGGGATTTGAGAATTCACCCTATTGTGACAGCCATATGTCTCATTAGATTGGGAATTCTAGAGTTTTATTGCACAAGTTTCAGTTGACTGAATATGGGAGGTTGTCGGGTCTGCAAGAATTGTGGAGCTAGAGGGGAGTCCATTGTTACAGATTATGAAACTGGCGATATAGTTTGCACATCTTGTGATGTTGTTCAAGACTTTGAGCAATTTCAGGCCCATATTGGAGGCATTAATGGGCCTGCTGGGACTTATGTTCGTGTTGGTACAACAGGCATTGGAAACAATTACAGTTACAGAGAGACCAAAATTTACGAAGCAAAAAAGGTGATTGATGATTTGATTTACAAGTTTGGGCTTTCAGAAACCAAAACTAATGAGGTTAACCTTATGGTTAGGAAAATCACTGAGGAGGAATACGGCAATGGGAGATGGTTTTCCGTGTTGGTCGGTGCGTGCTCTTATGTTGTCATGAGGAGGGATTCCAAGGTCTTGACAATGGAGGAAGTCGGAAAATCAGTCGGGTGTGACATTTTCGAGATGGGTAGGATGGTTAAACGCGTGGTTGACTTTCTAGATCTTGAATTGCCCGAGTTCAACCTCGTCAATTCCTTTGAACTTGCGATTACCAATTCTCCTAGCTTGACCGAGGTTTCTGAGGATACGATCTCAAGGATGTTGAAGCAGGGGACATTTTTGGTACAATGTTTGATCAATTGGTCTGTGACAACTGGACGGCGACCAATGCCTATTGTTGCGGCGGTGTTGGTGTTCGTCTCAGAGCTAAACCAGACCCCGATAAAAATTGATGATGTGGCGAACGAGTTAGACGTGGTGCTCCATACTTGTAAGTTACGGTATAAAGAACTTCTGGAGAGGCTTGTTAAGGTTGCTAAAACGGCCTTGCCTTGGGGGAAGGATGTGAATATGAAAAACATAATGACAAATGCCCCATCTGTGATTCAATACCTCGAGTTGAAGTCAATGTCAAACCACAATAAGGACGGAAATCATTCCAAATGTGGAGATGTTTATGATTTTAATAACTTGCTTAATGATTGTTTAAGTGAAGAAAAATTCTATGGTTATGACGATATTGCACCTGAAAAAGATTCCCGGTATTTTCAACCTGGAAATGTTGAGATTCAGGAAACATCCCTCCTTTCTTCCGAGTCATTGTCTATAATTCATTCGGAACTAAAGAACGCGGTGTCTTCAGAACTTAAGAACATGGTGTCTGTAGCTATGGTGGGCCAACATGCAAGTGGGGGGAAAAGGGCGAGAGAATATGGCATTCTTACTTTAAGGGACTGGTGGAAGGGGGAGTCTGAACTTAGCAGAAAGCTCCATCTAGAGAAAATATTGGAAAAGAACTTAGGATTAGATGCCACACCGCCTTCATTTGATAAGGGTTGTTTGGTGTATGAAAGGAGAAATGAGAAGATAAAAGCTGCTAAGTTAAGGATCCGTAGGACTATGTATGGTACTTCAAGGGCAGATGATCAAAATGATGTTTCTGATTTAGTCATTGGTAAAAAAGGGAAGAAGAGAAAGAGGGAAATGGGATCTGATTTAGATTGGGAAGATTTCATCATTGAAACTCTTCTCCTTCATAAGGTTAGAGAAGAAGAGATAGAGACGGGGCATTACAAAGCTTTGCTGGGATTGCATGTATTCAATGGTGCAAGCTGACGATTTTAACTCATCATGTAAGTGTCAGTGTATGTACAAATGTATATTCATTAAACAATATGAAGTTTGAATCACATACGTATATAAAAGCACAGCACCTGCTTGGTTAAAAAAGAGTCCAGCTTGATTGAACTAGCCATAACATATCATTTTAATTTCCAAAAGGTTTGGTTATATATGATAAATATAGGCAATCCAACAAACTGTAGTTCTCCTTACAAATTTTTTGAAGTCGTGCATTGGTCAAACTTGACACTTTTGGGAGATAAAGGTAGTTTATAAATTATGTAAATTAATATAATTTTTCATATTTCACTTTCTTTTCTGCCATCTAAATGTAAGAGTATTAATGAGATACGAGTATATATCTCACCTCTTTAATTCCACAAATGGTGTATCTTATGATATTTGTCATTTGATTAATTCAGTTTGTTGTAGATGGATAACAACTTTTTGCTGATAGACAACTTGTGACGATATTTCCAGGTCCTAATTATTCTCGGGAGTATGATAAAGCAGGTGCCATGATGAGTGTTGATGAGACTTTGATGTGCTCTTTTTATATATTAAAGCCTACTGAAAAGAAGCCAAAGTTTGGATTTGGCAGCACAATGATGACTAAATCAGGTTTCCTTACAATGAAAACAAAGGTTCTTTTCTTGCAATGAAAGTATAGGTTTTTAATTAAAGGTTTCATATTTTAAATATTCTACCCCACATCCCAAAAATGAGTCCTGCTTCACCAATGCACATCTTTTAAATTTAGCAAGTATAGGTTTTTAATGACAGGTTGCATATTTTAAATATTGTACCCCATCCCAAAAAATGGATCCCGCTTAACCAAAGTACACCTTTTAAATTTTAGGAAGTACAACTGTTGGGAATTTCCTTTATATTTCGTATTTTTCTCTACCTTTTGGATTTGATATCATGTATCGATTCATGTTAGCCGACCCCGAATCTTTTGGGACTAAGGCTTGGATGTTGTTGTACAACTGTTGGGAAATATCAATTCTAGCTATGTTTTTTTTCTTTATTTGGTTGGCTTGACTTTGTTTAACACATCTAACTTGTTTGGGATACTTTATTTAATACATGTAATATGACAACAAATAGCTTCGTTTGTTTGAACATGATTCTCTTTTTGGGAGGATTTTTTGTGTGATGCAGAGAGTAATACACGCAGTCACGTGTTGCATGTTTTGAGAGCTTAACTATTACAATATTTGTTTGTGATGTAATTTGTTTGGCACTATGTCAGTGTTGTAAGTTGTAACGTTGGCTTGTTGCTAGATGTGTATTTTTCTGTGGTCCTTTGCTGAATAAAGAAGACGTGGCATAAACACACGAGTATTAATATATTGTATATAAAGGCTCGTTTTTTCCATTTTATGGCATGTAATCGTTGTAGTATTTTTTATACTGATTTCTGAGGGATCTAATTGTTTATAGTTATGCATAGGTAAAAAATCAATCCAAGCTGAATCAATTTTTTCCCCATAATATATTACGCAGTATGATTGATGGCAACATAATGAAGTTTGATTTGCCTAGGTACTAGGTAGATAAAAGCAGAATTTCTCATGGGCTCAAATTCAAGATTGTCTTGTGAATAGTATAGTTCTATATTAATGTCTCTGTAGGACTTTTGTTAAACAATCCAACTCAGAAAAACTATTGGGTCATATTGAGAGTTGTTTGATACTGGTAAAATTTGGCTGAAATATCTGTGAAGGAGTTGAATTGGATGAAGATTCAGATGATTTTTTTTTTTACAAATGGATGTAATAATATTCGAAAAATTTTGTTTTCCTTTTCATTCCTTTGAACAACAAAAAACACTATTTTCTACTATCAGCCTATTTGACAGCCATGATTAAATAAGTTAATAGAGTAGAAAATCTTGTTCACAACCAGAGGCACTTCCCTAGCAAGCAGGCACTGCTTGTGCTTCCTAAAGGGTAATATAATATTTCTCCAAAACTTAACATGGTATTTTTCATATATGCTCTGACTACAATCTTACTGTTTTCTTTTCATCTTCTGTGTGTTTATTTTGACCGAGTGATCTTATTGTTTGCAGTCATTTATTGGTAGAGGCTGATGGAAATGTGGGCAGATGGATTCCAAGGGATAAAGACCTACTCCTATGGACAGATAAACATGTCTTTTTCCCATAAGTGATGTAATGAATTGTGTTTTATTCTTGTGTCTGTACACAAGAAATTGGAAAAACTATTTCATAATTTAATCTTACTATAGAAAAAGTTTGTAGCAATAACACTTGCAAGCCACTGTCTTAGTATTGTTTTTTTAATTGTGAGCCTTCTCAAGGGTGGATCCGGTTAGACAACTAAAGTGAACTGGTCAGTGCTTGCCTTTGAAGTCAGAATGGCTTTCTGGTTTTAAATCTGAATATTTATCAGAATAAACTTGTTCTGGTTCCTCCTACTTGAAAACGGTTAGTTTTGGCTCTGATCAATGATATATTTGGAAATGATTGTGTGACTAAGTAATTGATACTTTATTTTACAAATATAATTTTATGTAATAAGAAAGTGGAAAGATGTGGTATAATTTCATCAATAGCATACTCTTGATGAAAGTATGACTTGGACCATAATTTTAACCGAATAATTATGAGATAGTCCATCTAAAATTCTAAATGAGGATTAAAGCTTAGGACAGCTTTGGATTGTGACAATTGCTCATGACGCTTGGCTTATACATCAATGAAGCTAAACACAAACAATTAAGGGAACGAAATCATTTTCCTCCCCAATGAAATTTATGTTGGATGGAAACAGAAAAAGGGGAACAGCATTTACTTGTCCACATGGTTGAGTATTTGGTCATATGACTCATATCACCAGAGTAAGCTCATGAAGTTACATGCAAAAGGAAGAAAAATGTTGTTTGCCACTAACATTGTTTTGCAAGAAATTGTCCATAAAAGGTGTAAAAACTAAAAAGGGATCAAGTTCACATCTTCATTCTACTACGTAATATTTTAATCTTAAAATAGAATTATTTAACGAAAAAGTCATTTCGGAAAATAAATAGAGTTTTTCACACAAATTTAGGATGTTTTCTTTTGGACTGAAATTTGCTGGTCTGGTCTGGTCTGTTTAAGTCAGGTCTGGGTTGATCTGGTATGAACTGGTCTAGTCCGGTCTGGTAAACGTCTGGTGTCCGTGTATTTTATAGCTATGGAAGTCTGGTCTGGTCTGTTTAAGTGTGGTCTGATCTAATCTGGTCTATTTAAATCTAGTCTGGTCTGGGACTGAAAACACTCCAAAAGAAAATATCCTTACACATTAACAAGCTGATTTTTACTTGATTTAGGTTTGGTTTGGATTGACCTTCCTTACCAACCCATATTCATCTTCAGGGGCGGATCCAGGAATCTGAGATGTCATGGGCTCAATAGAAATTATAATAGACTTAAATATTAAAGGAGTGAGCTAAATGTGAAAAATGAAAAAAAATTACTCAAAAGAAATTGAAAAATTTCTAAGTTGTCGTGGGTTTTCAACCTACCATAGCAATAGATCATCCCCTGTTCATCTTACACTATGAACACAGACAATTATTAAGTTGGGTTGGGCAGCGTCCCGATTGCTTCCCTCTACCTCCGCCCCCGATTATTGATGTAGTCATATTGTACCCATATATTTACTTTACATTATTATTTTTTTAGCAGACTAGCTTTAAACAAACAATTAACTCCATTTTTTAAACATTTCGAAGCTCTTTGCACTTCAACCCTCAACTATTTTGTCAAACTGGAGTTATTGATATTAGTACGGAGTATTTTTTTATTCATTTGGAATGACCATGACAAAAGAGGCAGTGGTACTACCGTACTGTTCAAGTACTTTCTATATTGTGTGGATTGAATTAGTGTGTGGATTGAATTAGCTTGCAAACATGGCAGACCCCATGGGTTTGACACTTTGTAGGTTAACTTTGTTGTACCCAAAGTTATGCACAGATATAATCGTATTAGTTACGGGGTGAATTTACAAATGAACAAAGTTATAGTATTAATATTGCTCAAACGCTAACGGTTCAGAGATTGGTGTCATCCTTTTCATGACTCAAAAGTTAAGCAATTAAAAGAATCAATCTCTCTTAAGTTAAATAGATGTTTATATATACGTAGTTTTTTGAGAAAAAATTACTTTTATATTATTTCAACTCCATCGCAAAACTTAAGTGTATGAAGTTTTGGTGTGTGTTGGTCTAACTTTTTTCGCTATCAACTTCGAACAAAGTTGTTCTTAACTAATTGTTATTTTCACAGCAGGAACACACTCCGGTTCGACAGAGAATATGAATGATTGTAAATCATAGTGAATCCAGCTAAGTACAAAGGCTAGACTAGTACTTGTTGCGCACAAGGAGTCCTAATATTGAGTGGTTACTCTCACATTGCTGCTTGTGAGACTTGATCATGTGTTACTTATTCCACCCCTATGACCAACTGAGCTGCCCATGTGGGCAAGATTCTTTTCAACTCCATAGTACTCTGTGAGTCCAATTTAACATCTTAGATAATGTGCACTGTCTTACAAAATTTGCTATTTACAGTACGACTACAGATGGTAACAATAAGAACAAAAACAAATAATAATAAAGAAGATACGGAGTAGTAATCAACAATAAAAATAACAAACTTAACATTGATATCTAGAACAACAACAAAAACTACTACTACATATAACAACAACAACAACAACATATAACAAAACAAGAAGAAGAATAGTAAGCAAAACAAAATCACAGCTCAAAACTTTCTTTATACGGACCAAACAACTTGTGGTTCATTGACATCACTGTGATACTCCCAAAGGGAGATTAAATGTTCGAAACTTATCCTAGTCAAGGATATTCACATTTAATATAAGAGATATGATATATATCCTAGTCAAGTACTATATATGATATGTGAGAAAGTACAATAAAAACTTCTATGTCATAAGGAGTATATGATCATTTGTTGAGCCACAATCGTTTTGTACACCCAAAAAGTATGTATGTAAGATTTCTTCCTAAAAAATTACTCCGTATATGGCAAAAAATTGAGGACAATAATTTGACCAAAGTTGCCACACACAATTACTAAAATTACTATTATAATTACAAAATTATTAAATGTCACAATTTCTCTTCACTACATTCATTTTATTTGATTTATTTATTCGCCATATTTGCTCATTCGAAGGTACACATCAAACATCATGATCACTGATCAATATGAGCAAAAGAAAGATTTTTGAGGACGAAAATTAGTCTCATAATCTCATCACAACTAATTAATTAACTGAACTTATGGTGGGAATTCCATAATGGAGAGCGAATTGGCCAGCCACACATTAAACATCAAATGTCCACCACTAGAGCAACATTAATACACTAAGGTGGTCCATAATGTCCCATTATCATATTCACGTACGGCAAAATACAATTAACTTGCATTAAAGTTTTAAACCATGATTTTACCTCTCACTTTAGAGTCAGAAAACACGATTTATTCCATAGGAAACATTCGGTCAACTTATAACTCAATGATAATGCCATTAATCTCAAGATCGTCCCATCATTCTTGGGGCAGTTCCAAAAAGCTTTATTGATAAAATTGATAAGAGGTCACCAAAACAATTATGATGTGATACATTTTTTACTACTCCATAGACCATAGTCCATAGTGAATTGACGACTTGACGTCCAATAAAAAATACGTTAAAGTATATGTGGTTGGACGGACTTGGAAAGATAAAGCCATTTTAACAGTTTAATAGGGTGAAAGTTAACACTATTCAAATAAATGCAAATAGCCATTTTAGTCTATTGAGAGTAGTTTTTGCAATTAGAAGTAGACCGATTCAATCTCGGTAAAAACAACTGGTCGACATGTTTTTGTGAATATAAAGCGTGACTTTATATAAAATTAGGGGAAAAACTACTTGAGCCAAAAAGTTATTTTGGCTAAAAAGTTATTTAAAATGGCTTAAGTAGCCATGCTTGTGAAAATTATACTAGCATAACTCTTTATATAAAATTCGGGATATTGAAATTACATATATCCCTAAGTTTACTGCACACATCCTTAAGTTTGGAATGTTTTAATTATTTTTTCCCTTTACAAATATCAAAATGTGTTACTTATGCCCGTTCTTTTACACCTCTCTTTATAAAAGTCTTGAAAGCTAGATCGAGGAGGGCTCATGCCAACTGACAATGTTCTTAGTTGCACAATTAAAAGTATGTTTGATATCATTAAATTTGGCTGAAGTTGACTCATTCTAATTGAAATTTTTTAGGTTCAGGCTAAAGTGACTAGATCAATTGATTATGTTGAATTATGCAAAAATAATTTAAGTATATTTTGTTAATAAAATAAAGAAAAAATTATGGTATAAAAAAAGCTAAAATGGTTTTATACAGTAGCTTTAGCCAAACTAGCCAAAACATTAACATCAATCTTAACTATTTTGAGTATTACATGACTCAGGCCGCAGTTAAAAAAAATACATGCTTGGTAAAAAAAAAGTAGGCTCATGAAGCTGATAAGCCGAAAAACAGGGTCACGAACGGGCGGTAAAATAACCTGATAGATGTTTATTTTTGTGTATTGTAATATTGCCTAAAGATGTTTTTTAATTGGATTGGTTTCAGTCTCTCGCTGTATCGGATTTCAAAAGACCAGGCAAAAATAAAATTGAAATAATTAGATCAGACTCAGACAGTTGTAAATACATATACAACAGATATCTATCAGATCAATTCAAACAAGACTAGACCAGACATCAAACATAAATAGACCAGATCGGATCCAACTAGCCAAAAAGTTTCAATCCGATCCATTTAAAAAATACAGTCTTGTTTGATCTAATCTAGTTTAGTATACTCTTATTTGTTAAGTCCTCTTATTTGTTAAGTCCAGTTGAATTTGATTTGGTCTGAGATAGAAACAAGACCATATAAAAATATGTTTGAATTAAATGTCTGACTAAACTACTATGAGTGTAGTGTCATAGCTACTTCATGATAAGAATTGAACATAAGTTATTACTCCGTACTATATTTACTAGTCACTAGTCACTACACTTAAAATGCCACATTTTATTAAACAACCACTATTTTAGTCATAATTTTGTAACTATTTCAACTAAATATGACCATCTTAAATTTAAATAATTTAGAAAGACAAAATAGAGATCAGAGCAAAACAAGTAATAACTATTGTGTGATAGAGAAAGAAGATATATTCTCGTATCAAGATCGATTAATTCAAGAAAATATTCAATTGTTAGAAGAATGAAAAGATGAACTGAATTATACGTAATACAATAACTAAAAAAATACTGAATAAAAAGTCTCATACAGAAAAGAAGATCGACCTCAAAAGAAAATTGTAATGGGGATTTATGGTAAAAAAAAAGAACGAATTAAAAAGGCAGAAAAGCAGGAAAGAAAGTTACATACGTATTGCGAAAGAGAATAGTATTGATGCATAGTAAAAACGCATTGAAAAAATATATGATAAAGAATGTGTTAAAACATTTGTCTCACACCGGAATGTTATAAAACAATTAAACTATATAAGGCTTTGGCAGAGCCGTCTTTAGCAATTTTGGTGCCCCGGACAAAAAATGACCAATGAGAATAAATAGTATCTAAAATTAAGAACGGAATTAAGTACAAAGTAAATTATAACACATTTTTTTACTAAGTGTAAAAGGTAATACTTGACTTAAATTGATATAAAGTAAATGAAAATGTGAATTCTTCTGAGAAATAAATAGAAGTATAAAAATACTACTTAATAACCTATTCTTCTTGCCTTTTGATGTGCAAAATTTGTAAGTGCATCACTACAATCAAGAGTAGATAACACTCTTTTTTCTATGGATAGCGTAGCAAGCCCACTTAACCTCTCTTGTGACATTGTCGAATGGAGGTAGTTCTTTATCAACTTCAACTTTGAAAAACTTCTTTCGGCAGATGCAACGATCACGGGAATAGTTAACAAAATTCTGTAAGCAACCCAAGCATGCGGAAAAGAAATATGCATCTCTCTAATGTACTCCATCACTTCAATGACTTTTTTATCTTCAGGCAATGACTTGCTTTACAATTGAAGTTCTGAAAATAACTCAATTGAATCAATATCGCAATCATCCCCGTGTTTCAAAAAACTCCCAAGAGTATCACAAGAATGAGCCAAGTCTTCATCACTTATTGTCTTTAGCTTACTCACATTATACAAGAATCCAAAAGTTTCTTCATATTTCTGAAATTGCTGAAATCTAGTTTCCAATGAAGAAATAGCATTATCAACAACTACTAAGAAATATGCTCCACTAAACACATCATCCGTAGACTTCATTGTCTCATCAACTACTTTCTCATCAAAAAACTTCTTTTTGGTCCGAATACGGATGTCACGAAATTGAGGCTCAACATGTAAATCAGAAGCAGTATTTTGAGCTTCAAGTTTGGCTTTCTCAAACACTTCTTCTCTATATTCCATGAAAAATACAATCAATCCTTTCAAGAGATTTAAAGCCACACCAACATCCATATCTCTTTGCTGGAGCACTTTGTTAATTTTGTTCACTTTGTTCAATACCTCATACCAAATTACCATACTAACAATAAAATCAAAATTCATTTCATATTCATTTCATAACCATACTAACAGTGCTAGCATCATTACTAGTTTTCGTCAAGTGCTCCAATGCTTGTTTTATTTGTGGTACCTGAAATCTGGTTGCTCTAACACTAGCAATACGACTTTCCCAACGCTTATTAGACCACGACTTTAGAGTACGACCCTTGTCTATCACGATCTTTGACAAAGGTTTTGAAAATCTCCCACTGTTTGTTGAACTTGCAATTATAAATAGTCACAATATATTAGTAACCAATAATGAAAGAATAACAACTATATGTACAAAGATAAATAAATAAATAAATAAATAAATAAATAAATAAATAAATAAATAAATAAATAAATAAATAAATAAATAAATAAATAAATAAATAAATAAATAAATAAATAAATAAATAAATAAATAAATAAATAAATAAATAAATAAATAAATAAATAAATAAATAAATAAATAAATAAATAAATAAATAAATAAATAAATAAATAAATAAATAAATAAATAAATAAATAAATAAATAAATAAATAAATAAATAAATAAATAAATAAATAAATAAATAAATAAATAAATAAATAAATAAATAAATAAATTAATAAATAAATAAATAAATAAATAAATAAATAAATAAATAAATAAATAAATAAATAAATAAATAAATAAATAAATAAATAAATAAATAAATAAATAAATAAATAAATAAATAAATAAATAAATAAATAAATAAATAAATAAATAAATAAATAAATAAATAAATAAATAAATAAATAAATAAATAAATAAATAAATAAATAAATAAATAAATAAATAAATAAATAAATAAATAAATAAATAAATAAATAAATAAATAAATAAATAAATAAATAAATAAATAAATAAATAAATAAATAAATAAATAAATAAATAAATAAATAAATAAATAAATAAATAAATAAATAAATAAATAAATAAATAAATAAATAAATAAATAAATAAATAAATAAATAAATAAATAAATAAATAAATAAATGAATGAATAAATAAATAAATGAATAATAAATGAGCTAAAATATGGATAGAGATGTACCTAAGAATAATTTATAAATTCGTTGTACCACACCAAAAAAAAAGTTTTTGCTTGTGGACAACTCAGTGCCATGTCACAGAGGGATAGATTAAGAGAATGACAACCACATGGTGTGTAAAATGCTCTAGGATATTCTATTAGCACTCTAGCTTGCACACCTTTATTGTCTCCTTTCATGTTTGAACCATTGTCATAACCTTGTCCTCCCACATTATTGAAATCAAGATCATGGGTCTGAAATAAACACTTGGGCTCTTCAAAGAGAGCCTCTCCAGTTGTCTCAACTACCTTCACAAATTTTGTGAAAAACTCTTCTATTCTTACCGGAGTAGTAGACACATTGACACATCTTGTTATAAGTGTCATTTTCTCCTCATGACTAACATCCGGCATGCAATCAAGAATAATGGAGAAGGACTTTGAATCTCTAACAACTTGAAGGATCTTCTTTTTTACTTCACCTGCTAATAACTGTATCATCTCGTTTTGAATATTATGACCAAGATAATGATTCTGAATCTCTTTCTTGCGTTTACGCCTAAGGTGCTCTTCCTTTATTGGATCAAACTCGACAATCATATTGATAATCTTGAGAAAGTTTCCATTTTTCTCATCTCCAATCTTTTCATTATCACCTCGAAATGCAATATTACAAGTAGCGAGAGTTTTAACAACACTCATGATTCTTTTCAACACAGCTCTTCAGTACTCCTCTTTATCAATCACTCTTTCTCGAGAAGCAGCAATGTCGGTCTTCTTTTTCAGTCTTATTTCTGCTTGTCTCCAAGATTCAATGCTACGAATATGATCATTGCTCAATTCATGCTCTACAAGTCTATGATGTATATTGTGCCAATCGTTATACCCTTCACCTGGGGTAGTCAAAGGGCTTGATACTCCACCTTTTTAAAACAACACACACAACAAAAACAAAAGACTTTGTTTTTTGACAATGAATACACTAACCATGGATGGTCGTATTTTTCACCATTTGTCAAGCACCGAGTATAGTGTTTGTCGCTAAAACTCCGTTTTTTATCAACGGGATAATCATGACATCTTTTTCTTTTTGAGAAATCGGTACTTTCCAGTTACATGGATCACATAACTTGGTCATATCAAGAGTAAAATGCAACACATCTACAATTTCATTCTCAACATCAGCATTCACCTCCTCATCTTCTACAAAACATCTACCCTCATCCTTGTTTTCTTTTTCGTTCTCAAGTGGAACATCAATATTTTCATTGACATCTTTATCACTTGCCTCATCAAGATTTTTGTTTGAGGTCGATGGAGAAGGATTTATTTTTACATACCTATCCATTGAACCCGCAAAAGATTGCACTACTTCATCTTTTCTTTTTTTAAGTTTTCTCTTTGAAGCCCCTGACTCTTGTTTCTGTTCCCCGTCATAGTGCGCACTATAACATACTACCTCTGTCCCCCTAAGTTTGGGACAAAAGAAGATGACACACTTATTAATAAAAGTGAGTTTATGTGGTTGATATTGAATTGGTAAAGTAAGAATAAATAAAGAATGATTTAGAACCACAGAAATTTTACCAAATAACGTATGAGACAATCTTAGTGGGACGGACCGAAAAGATAAAAGGGACAATCATAGCGGGACGGAGGGAGTAATAATTTAGCACTAATTAACTATTTTACAAGTTAGTAAAATCAGACTAAATTTGATTAGCGAATAGAAAATCAGAAAGTGTATAACACAAAATTTCAAGTTTAATACAACTAATAAATAATATTTAACAAATTGATCTGATTGTAGAATAACTCATTTACAAATTTAAGTTCTAGTTCCTACACAAAATCGGAATTGTCAATTATGAATTGCAGAATAATTGAAGAAATTAGAAAGAGAAATTTCAAATATAATGAATTTGTTTATCGTTACCTGAAAAAATACATCGGAGAATGAATTGCAGATCGGCTAGAGCTATTCAGTATTCTCGGTTCTGCATAAGGGGTTCAATTGAGAGTCGTTGCATCCATAATTCGTAATTCGTAAATGTACTAGCGACCTAGGGTAATAGACTAATAGATACTCCGTAGACATTAGACCATAAGCACTATTCCTATTTACTACTACCTCCTCCGCCCGAAGGACAAGTTCCCACTTTCCTTTTTTGGCAGTCCCAACAAAAAGTTCTCATTAGAGCCATCAAAACGGGCCGAAGCCCGCGGGTTGGCCTGTCTCAACCCACTTATAAGTGGGTTAGGGTTATAATTTTCAGGCCCGATTATTTTGTGGGCTTAGTGGGTCAACCCTAACGGGTTGCGGGTTTAGCGGGCCAACCCGTACGGGTTGCGGGCTAACCCGCGGGCTGGAGACAAAAATCATATTTTCTAAGTATCTATTAATATATAAATCTATATAGGACGGTTCCACATAGTAATATACTTGTACTAAATTACTAATATGCCACAGCCGAACAGACGTAAGGTCAGGAAGGAGATGGAGAGACATGCTTGTCTAGGAGTCTGGGAAAATCAATTATATCTTTTATTTTTACTCTCCCCAGTGGCCCAGTCTCCCGGTCTCTCTTTGTGTTCAGTGTTCTCTCTTCTATGTTGCTGCGTTTTAGAGAAAGATTGGGTGCCGATTGTTGAATCGTTTCTTCATTCTTCCCATCTCAGGTATTCTCAATTAAACTATTAGTGATCAATTTCCCATTTGCTAAAATTTGTATCAATTATCTATTCTAGTATTCTGTATTTCTGCAAGAAACCTAGATGGACTCTATTGTATTTCATCAATTATTAATGATCGATGATTTATCAAGAATCAGTTTAAGGCTTTTTATTTCAGGAATCAAAAGTCTAAAATTCAATCTATTGTAGAGTGTTTTAAATAAGATGATCGATGCTATATATACTGTACCAATATTTTCATTTTTAAATATTTCAGGCACTAAGTATACAACCAAAGGATTTTCAAGCACTATTTTTTTTTCATTTTTAAATATTTCAGCTTTTAAGACCTTTATCTATACTTTGTAATACTTCTATATATAGTAGTTTAGAAATACAATGATACATTAAGATAGAAAGGTAAAATCTGGACTAGTTTTTAGTTCTTGTCTTCTTAGCCTCTTAAGGACATCTCAATGAATTACAATATATGGTAATTCTACTAATTTAGAGATACAATGATGGATACATTAAGACAGAGGTCAAATCTGGACTAGTTCTTACTTCTTAGGATTTCTCTAATGCTTTTACATAGTAACTACTGCACTATACGTCTTTTTTCAGCATTTTATTTAGCCGTTTCCCTATATTTAATGATTTGATTCCTTAATTATTTTTCAAGATAGAATAAGGCAGACTGCACATGAGTAATTAAATGAATTTCTTTTATGTAGGAGTACTATGGACCCAATGGAATCTGAATCACAAGGTGCTAATGAGTGTGATGATGCTCAACCAACAGAAGTGACACACGATAGTTCTGAACTGGCATCTACTCAACCTGATGGAAGTAAGGAAATAGGTACGAAAAGAGCCCTTACTTCATATGTGTGGGAGCATTTTGAAATTATTGGAAAGGGCGAAGATAAAAAACTCAGGGCTAGTTGCAAGCATTGCAAAAAACAATATGTGGTTGGCTCACACAAATATGGAACATCTACCCTAAGGCGTCATCTTGATAAATGCAAAGAAAAGCCATTATATAGGGATGTGGGGGGATGTGGGTGGGATGTTAATTGATCATGAAGGGAAGTTAAGAGCAAAAAAAATTGATGATGTTGTTGTTCGAGAAAAGACAACTATGGCCATCATAGAGCATGACCTGCCCTTTTCTTTAGTGGAGTATAAGAGGGTTAGAAAATTTCTTTTGTATTTGAATCCAGATTACAAGTGCATTAGTAGAAACACTGTTGCCTCTGATGTTATCAAGTTTTATCAGGAAAAAAAAAATTGAGGCTAGATTTATCAAAAATTCCTAGTCGGATTTGTTTAACCTCTGATGCGTGGACTGCTATATCAAATGAGGGGTATATATGCTTAACAGCTCATTATGTTCACGATAATTGGAAACTGAATAGTAAGATTTTATCTTTTTGTTCATTGCCTCCTCCACATTCTGGTAGAGAGTTGGCTAAGAAGATCTTTGATTGTTTGAAGGAGTGGGGGATAGAGAAAAAAATATTTTCTCTTACATTGGATAATGCCTCAGCTAATGATAGTATGCAAGACATAATGAAAGAACAACTTTGTTTGCACAATAATTTATTGTGCAATGGTTAGTTCTTTCATGTAAGATGTAGTGCACATATATTGAATCTTATAGTACAGGATGGATTAAAAGTGGCTAACAATGTCTTGCTGAAAATTCGGGAGAGTGTGAAATATGTTAAAGCATATGAGAGGAGAGAAATCATCTTTGATGAGTGTGCTAAGGAAGTTGGAATTGATTCTGGGGGTGGTTTGCGTTTAGATGTACCGAATCGGTGGAATTCCACTTATGCAATGCTTGAGAGTGCTATTAGGCATCGACGTGCATTCAGTAGCCTAAAACTGAACGACCCGAATTATAAGAGTTTTCCTTCTCCGGATGAATGGGAAAGAGGCCAAAGAATTTGTGAACTTCTGGAGCCGTTTAATGAAATTACCTCTAGCTATCCTACTTCAAATTTGTATTTTATGCATGTTTGGAAGATTGAATGTCTGCTCAGGAAGAATATTGTTTCCAAGGATGAAAAAGTTAAAGCTATGGCATGTGATATGCTAGTGAAATTTGCCAAATATTGGAATCAATATAGTATCATTCTGGCCATGGGGGCTGTTTTGGATCAAGAATGAAGTTTGAGCTATTGGAGCATTGTTTTAACAAACGTGATCCCAACACTTCTCAAGAAAAGTTGAGTCTTGTGAAAGAGAAACTATATTTGCTCTTTGACCAATACAAGAGTAAATCCGTGCTGGCTACTTCTTCAAATGTTACTCCAACTGCACATGCAAGTGTCACAATGCAACATGGCAGAGGGTTGTCTATCTTCAATGTAAGATCTAATGTGATTGTATTATTTTACTAGTTATGTTTATAGTTTTATAGTAATTTCTTTCTTTAATTGCGAAATTATGCAGGAAATCCCTGCATTTGAGAGCCAAAATATAACCGATAATGGAAAATCATCTTTGGATATGTACTTGGAAGAAGGGAGATCTGAGATGAAATACTTTTATGATATGGATGTTCTACAATACTGGAGTGATCGTAAAATGCGATATGGTGACTTAGCATTAATGGCATGTGATGTGCTTAGTATTCCTATCACCACAGTGGCATCCGAGCCAGCTTTTAGCATTGGCTCTCGTGTTTTGACTAAATACAGAAGTTGCATTCTTCCTGCACGTGTCCAAGCGTTATTATGTTCCCGTAACTGGTTAAAGGGATATAAAGTCCCTGAGGATGGTAATTTTATATTTCTTTATGTCTTGTTATTTTTTATGGCTATGCTATTGTTGAACTTTGAATGCTTAATAATCCAACACGTGCAGATGATGAAAGCACCGGAGATGGTTCAGATCCACCGCTAGCTTAATGCTTATCTGGAGATGGATAATTTAGCTCCAAACGTTGTGCAGATGGATTTAATGAAGGAGTGTTGAATTCTGCAGATAGTTTGATCAAAGCTATCATGTTTTTGTTTTGAGTTGAATTAAAGCATTAAACTCATGGACATTTTTGGGTGTTTGCCTTTTAAACTTTAATGATTTTGGCCTTTTAAACTCCTGGACATTTTTTGGATCGACTTACAAAGTTATGAAGTCATTGGCAGTGATGTATCTTATTATTTCAATTGTGTTTGGATGTTAATTTAAATATTTAATTGTTTTTTTGTTTTGACATTTATGGCCCGCGGGCTGGCCCGCAAAACCCGTGGGTTAGGTGGGATGGGTTAGGGTCATAAAAATTATGCCCCGCCAGTAAACGGGTTGGCCCGCCCCACCCCGCGAAAGTCATAACCCGCTGCGGGTCAGGTCGGGTCGGGCCGGGTTGGCCCGTTTGACAGCTCTAGTTCTCATTTTCCTAAATGGAAAGTTATCCTACATCAAAACAATGCCAAACAGTGCAAAACAGTGCCAAACAGTGTCGAAACGGTGCCAAACAGTGTCAAAACAGTGTCAAACAATATGTGTGAAAGTCAATCCGAGAACTTCTCCCTGGGACGGAGGGAGTAATTTCCTATTGGACATTTGGGCCATCTGGCCAGTGGGCCAGGCTAGCATGTGTTTTTTTTCTTATTTGATTTAATTATTTTGTAGGCTTGTAGCTTAGACTTTTGTACTATTGTACAGTTGCATTACCATACGGAGAATTAGCCGCAGGTCTGGAATTGAGGTCCGGCCATGTACTCATGTATTTAACTAATACGGAGTATATTATTATTAATATATACTACCTCCGTTCCTAAATAAATGCAACATATGAAAATTTACACTATTCACATGTTCCACTTTGACTACGTTTTATTTATTAATGTATTAATATTTTTTTATGAAAAAAATATTGTTAAATTTGTCTCATTGTAAATTTTCAAAATCTATTTTTTTAATTTTTTTTACTAATACAAAATTATATATATTAATGGTCAAAGTTGTGTCTCGACAAGTGTGAAATGTTGACTGTTGCATTTATTTAAGAACGGAGGAAGTATAATATATATAATAATATATAATACTAGTTTAAAAAAATTGGTGCCCCCCTTCAAAGTGGTGCCCTAGGCCACTACCTAGGTGTCTGCCACCTATCACCGGTTCTGCGCTTTGGGCTACTTCTCCTATCAGGTTGACCTTTTATGGCATGTTTGTTTGGGGGTTAAACTAGGTTATTGAAGGTTCAATTTCTAATAAACCACGTTTGTTTGTATTTTTGCAACAAGAACCTAGATTATGTGTTAACCTCACTTAACTCCCAAGAACATGGAAGAACCTTAAATTGAAGAACCTCTGAATCGGGAGATTTTGGAGGTTAAGTTCTCGTATAACATAAAATGAGCTAGAGTACCTTCATACAAACAGCATTTATTACATTAACTTAGGTTCTCCTTCTATATTTCCAAACACTATTTTACGTATGGACCTAGGTTCACTTAGGTTAACCTAGTTTTTATTAAAACTCAGGTTTACTTTATTGCATTAGGTTTACTTAACTTCACTTTATCCAAACAGAGCATTAGGATAGAACCCCGAGTCTTAATATGGTATCAGAGCTCGAGTCTTGGTTGGACAAGAATAAAGCTAGACACAGGAGGAAATAGGGGGTTATTATGGCAGTCGGTTGTGGGGTTCAAAGTTTCTCGACCTCTCCTTAAGTGACAAGGAGACTGCCCAGAAATGGGTCACTTACCAACAGAAGTTTTCTGATATTGATGGCTCTGTTGGAGCGAATTTTCAGATTCATATGAGTGATTGATTGGTGTTGGTGGAGAAATTCGATACAGAGCTCGATGACTGGTTGGACAAGAAGCTCAAGATTTGGAAGAATGCACTCTCTCGTCCTTGGTGGGAGATGGTGTGTGATGATTTCAAACTTCTTTTAGTTCTCTACTTGAAACCTTAACCCGTTTTCATGATCAAGGCCCGCCTCACGACAATCTTGCTTCAGGTCTCCTGACACGTAAATAAAACTGTATGTGTATAACATGATGTGTGAATACTCCATTCATACAGTTTCTGAATGTATAGTTTCTGATGCAACATCTTTAAAGTGGATTCCTCGAAGATTTTATCAATATCCCGATGAAAGAAAGAAGGCAGAAAGTCAGGAGGCAGCTAAGCTAGTTAAGGAAGTCATAGTGGACGATGTTGAGAAGTTATGCATTTCTCCGGTTGGGTCATTTATGTGCTCGGAATATGAGCATGGACATGCACATGTAGTTTGATTTCTTTGGCCTCCTTTCTTTTGGCCAATAACCGTCTGTGTGGTGTTTCTACTAGCCCTCAATACAATTCTATCCAGCCATCGATCAAAATTTCTAATGACATTTACCACTATCGGCAAAAAGTACTCTCCCTGGACGCCGTATTCAGGACCAGAAAGTGCTAAGGGATTTGGTCCTGCATGATGCAAAGCTGACAAGCTGTTGGAGGATCCAGAGAAAAGAAAAGAAGAGGTGATCCAAAATTTTAAAGCTGAGGATAAAGATCCAATATCAATCCTAAGATTCTATAGGAATGGGCAAAGGCATATACACAAAAAAAGTAGACCCATTGGACAACACCATCAATGGTAGTTGGTGGATTCGTGATTTCATAACACGAAAAATAAATGTTTTCACTCATGCGCTAGAAGGAATCAGCACCATCCTTATGTCTCAATATCGTGATAAGAAGTTCACTGAAGCCCTATTTAAACAATTCAATCCGCTAGAAGGAATAAGAAGAGGGTAGAAGAGTCTTAATATGGTATGAGAGCCAATTCCAGTTGTGGTTTGACGACTTGTTTAGCACCCATGATTAAGGGCAACTTGTTAAGAGTTTGTTTGGCCCTTTTATACACCCCGATATTAATTGTCCAGCCCGGTTCGGGCTGAAAGGACGTGTTAAAACATTTGTCCCACATCGGAAAACTATAAAACAATTAAACATTATATAAAATTTTGGGCTACTCCTCCTATCAGGTTGACCTTTTAGGATAGAACCTCGGATCTTAACAGAATGAATATCAAAATTACAAATGTAGATCGAAGCTAGATCTTACAAATATTGTATATACAATAATATTTCAAAATGACATTAATTTTTCTTCCAAAAAATGACATTAATTAATTTTTTTTTTAAATGATAAAGAAAAGAGTCACGAAGATCTTGTTAGCTAGCTAGTACTTGATAACTAAAATGTACAATTTAAGGTGATTAGTCCATAAGAAGAATCTCCCAATTTTCTCTACCGATCAATATTAATCCAGGAGCACCTAATTTTGGGAATTGAAGTCGTTATTCTATTTTGTTTAATGATATATTATATTATTTGGGAGCATGTGCACTTTTATGTTATTTCTTTATGAAACATGTACTATGTCTTGAAACCAACATTATGTTGCTAAAATAATCATCAAGAATAAAAGATCCAATCACGTGGAATAAAAGATCTCAACCTCAATAAACTAAAGAAAATGCAAGTGGAATAAACTACTAGCTTCGATCTAGATTTGTAAGTGCGTGTTGAAGACAACTTAATTAAGATCGAAAATCAAAGCGAAAATTTGACTTTACATCTCACTTTTTGGGTGATATTGGACTTTGCACCTCATTTTAAAAAAATATTGACTTTGCACTCTATCATATAACATTTGTGAAAGAAAATTTCTAAATGGGTGCAAAGTCAAAGGATTTTGAAATGAAATGAGGTGCAAAATCAAAGTTTTTTTAAAATGGGGTGTAAATTAAAGTTCAATATCAGTGCTAAGTCAAATTTCCCAAAATGAAAGCATAAATGTACGTTCTTTAGCTATTTTTTAAGTCAAGATTTTTATTTCGAAAAGATGTTTTTTTGAATCATATATATACTGTATTACTTTTAAAAAAGAAGTGATCGAGTGATAACTTTAAGGCATGAAATGTGTGAAGATGATATTAGAATGAATGAATAACTATACCGATTATTATTATTATGAAAAAATTTCACTAATATTACTCTTTAAAATATGATGGACAAAAGTATTGCTTGGTAACTATTAGTGAGTATAACTGTGTTCTAATATATACTCTGTATCTTGCTAATTACATGTAAGTTACTACGATGTAAAATTTAAACATAACTATAGTCACTAATAGTTACTAAGAGTAATATTTTTGTCCATGACTTTTTATTTGTAATATTTAAGGAAAACCCCTATTTTTACTACTACAGTGATTATTATATTGATATCAATTAAATATGCATCATATATGGAATAAACTACAAACAAAAAAATAATACAGTGTTTTATTTTGATTTAATACAATTATTAGTAAAGTGATTTAAAAAGTAAAAGTTGTGATTGAGATTTGAATATAATAAGGTAAAATGTTATAGATTACATATATGTTTCTAAAAAAAGGAAATGCAACAATTATTTTAGGATAATTTGTAAAAGAAAATAAGACATGTAAAATGGATCGGAGGAGTATCATTATTGTTTACTTTTATGACAATCATATACAGTATCTTAAAATCATTTAGGTCAAATTTGAAATAAGCTCTTGAGTTGAGAAAATTTGAATATCTTGAAGGGATTCTTAAAGCTATTTACTTAAGTTTAAAAATTGTTAGTGTCATGATTACTTAAGTTACTGTCATGATTACTTAAGTTTAGAAATTGAACATAAATTACTAGCTAGGATTCCATTACTATTCTAGTCACTAATCACATTTTTGTAAATAATCTTTATTTGAGTCATATTACTCCCTCCGTCCCATTAGAAGGTTCTCACTTTCCTTTTTGGGGACGTCCCATATAAAGGTTCTCATATTCATTTCTGGAAACAATTAGCAATTTTAAGTGACAAATTAATCATTAAATATTAAAAACAATACATTTATAACATCACATTTATCAGTACCATCTACATTATAATATATATATATATACCTATTAAAATTATTTCTCAAAATATACTCAAAGTACTTTATTTAAATATTGTCTAAATAACCGTTCTGTTTTTCTATGGAAACCTTTTATCGGGACGGAGATAGTATGTAATTATTTCTATCTTAAATTTACATTAAAGAACGTAGCACATGCATTAGAAGAAGAGCATATACTATC